AAAAAAAAAAAAAAAAAAAAAAGGCCAGTTTGAGACCAGCCTGGGCAACATGGTAAACCCCCACCTCTACAGAAAATACAAAAATTAGTGCATAGTGGCTCACACCTGTAATCCCAGCACTTTGGGAAACCCAGGTGGGTGGATCATGAGGTCAAGAGATTGAGATCATCCTGGCCAACATGGTGAAACCCTGTCTCTACTAAAAAACACAAAAATTAGCTGGGCGTAGTGGCACGTGCCTGTAATTCCCAGCTACTTGGGAGAATAGTTTGAACCCCAGAGGAGAAGTTGTAGTGAGCTGAGATTGTACCACTGCACATTCCAGCCTGGCAACAGAGTAAGACTCCATCTCAAAACAAACAAAAAACAAAAAAACCTGTACCCAAACTACACATTTCCCTGTTTTAAAAACAAAATAATATCTGGGAAAGAATGAAATGTGGCAGTGTTTTGTTTTTTTTTTAAGAGATGGGGTTTCACCATGTTAGCCAGGATGGTCTCAATCTCTTGACCTCATGATCCACCCGCCTCGGGCTCCCAAAGTGCTGGGTTTACAGGCGTGAGCCACTATGCACTAATTTTTGTATTTTCTGTAGAGATGGGGGTTCACCATGTTGCCCAGGCTGGTCTCAAACTCCTGGACTCAAGCAATCTGCCCAGAGAATTATAACATTTATATCTACTACAAACTTAGCCCACACATTAGATACAGAAAACATTCTGTTAACATGACACAATGTTTAGACTACAATTTGTAAACCAAAGAGTCTACACACAAAGAATTCACACTCTGTTTGATTCCAGAAGTTCAGAGTTTGGCAAGGAGGGGTTGAAATTCCATATTTTAGAATACCATCAAGGAAATTTGCTAACATTCCTTGTCACTTTGCTCATAGCAAGAGTTCAGAGAACTTTTTGTTTTTCATTTTCCCATCTTCTTTCGGCCACCCACTTCTACCTTCCCCTTGACCACTCTCTTTACAAGAACTAAGAGCAGAAGAGGAGAGAGAGTGGTTCAAGGAAGATTCAAGGTCATTCAACTGTCTACATTTCTCTCTCAGGTCCAGGACACAGAAGTACATAAAAAATAACACAGCACATAGGATATTTTGGTTGCGGATTAGTCCTAAACAAAAACATAGGGCTTAGCTGGGTGCAGTGGGTCATGCCTGTAATCCTAGCACTTTGGGAGGGTGAGGTGAGCAGATTGCTTAAGCCCAGGAGTTCGAGATGAGCCTGGGCAACATGGTGAAACCCTGTCTCTACAAAAAATTAGCCAAGCGTGGTGGCGCATGCCTGTAGTTCCAGCTACCCAGGAGGCTGAGGTGGGAGGATTGCCTGAGCCTGGGAGGTTGAGGGTATCATGAGCTGTGACTGTGCCACTGCACTCCAGCCTCGGCCTGGGTGACAGAGCAAGACCTTGTCTCAAAACAAAACAAAACAAAACAAAAACAAAACACAGGGCTGACACATTACAGTAGATGTTGCTTAACTAATGTTGAATAAATAAAGATATTTCTAGCAAGGAGTTGGCAAACTTTCCCGGTAAAAGACAGGCAGTATTTTTAGGTTTTGTGGGCCATATAGTCTTCGTCACAAGTACTCAGTTCTGCTGTTGTAGTGTGAAAGTAACTATAGATAATATAGAAATAAATGGCTGTGGCTGTGTTCCAATAAAGGTTTATTTACAAAAAGGGGCAGCAGGCCAAATGTGGCCCTCAGGTTAGAGTTTGCCAACTCCTGGTATAGAATTTGGAGAGGAAAAAAAAAAGAAACTAATATTTATACAGAGGCTAACATTAGGCACTGTTCTGGAACTTAAAAATTACATGCTGATTTCATTTTATTTTCTCCTCACAGCAATCTGGATAGGAAGGTTGGTATTATC